GTATTCGCCAATTTTACATATTCATTGGCATTTTCTTGTTGAAGTAAAAATGCATTTACAGTTTCCAAACTTTTTAATGCTATACTAGTATTAATAATTACCATTTCAATACTATCATCTATTTCATCTGGATAATTAATATTCTCATTAGACCTTTTCTTAAAAATATCTACAAGTTCTGTGATGATTTGATCATCATCAAGAACTTCATAAACAATTTTTTCATCAGGAAGGTTAAGAAATTCCTTTACTTGCATTACATCAAGAAGATAAAAAACTTCAAGTGTTTTAAAAAGTTCATCAAGCGTTAAATCATCAGTTTCATGAATAATATCTAAATTAGTATTATTAGGAAGAATACCAGTATAATACCAACAATTATGAATTGTTTCAATTGTAATATAATTCCAACTTTAAATAATATAACGAATTGCTTGTAAAACATCAATTTTTAAATCTTGTATAAATTTTCCAACTTCAACTTATTCTAATATCTATCTAAACAAAAAAATAAAAGATTATTTTTTTAAATCTTAAGTTAAATTTTTAATAATTAATAAATAAACTAATTTATCAAATATGATAACAACATTTTTTTTAAATGACATAATAATTCCAGTATCCATTGGCTGAATTTTTGATGTAGTATTTGGAGATAAAAAACAAATTTCAACATGTTGAAGGTTTAGACCTTCTAATTTATGGTTTGGACAATTATTAAGTAATAGTAAAATGCGTTGACTCCTATATTTCAAATCCACTCGATGATCAAAATCCAAAAGCCATTCTTGAAAAAGAGTGCTAAGTATCTAAGCTTTAGTGTTATTTCGATATATCATAAGTAAATTGCAAATATCAATATTTTTAAAATATCGCAGATTTGCATATTTGCCAATTATTAGAGGTGCTAATTTGTGAGATTCATTAGCATTTGCATACAATGCAACTGAAAGACGTTCTTTACTTTTTTATGTCTAGAAAGATGTCTTGTAGCTAATATTCTATTCAGTTCCAATCTATAAAAATCATTGTTAATTTTTAAAATATTAATAAAATATTAAACTAAAAAATGATAATATACTGATAAAAAAGTCTAGTTTCATCTATATTATAAATTTGTTCAAGATGGTAATTATTACATTTATTACATAATAATAGTAAAACTTTAATGATAGCAGTTTGATCAGTAGATGCGGTTTCTTCTTGAAGTTGATTTGATAAATCCCATTACATTTTTAAATCCTTAAAGCTAACCAGAAGGAATCCCTAATCCACTTGCTAATAATTTAGCTTTCTCAGTTAATATTGCATCACTCAGGATAGCTCAATGCTAATAACTTAAGACAAACTCTTTAAGAGCAAGCTCAAGTTCTGGAAAAACTAACAGTTTTATGACGTTTTTGTTCTGGATGAATAATTTTAGAGGTAAGTCATTTTTCTTTAGTTTGTAAAATTCTTGTATAGTGGTTTCATTAATTCTAAACTCCCATTTCTGTTCTATTCAATCTACATATTGAGTTTGAGTTTTTTTATTTTCATTGGCATAAACACAAAGCTCATATTTTTGAGCGTTTATTAGAATAATTTTTTTTATGGATTGCATGTTGATTGATTTTTAAAAGAAAAAAAAATATATGAAAGAAGAGGTGTATAAAGTAAATACGTGAAAAAACGCATTAAATAATTATTAATTTATCAGTACATATGATCAAAAAAATAGGAAAATGTGAATAAACTTTGAATAATTTTGTAGATGATTAACTGAAAAATTCCAAGAAAAAAAAAGAAACCTTTCATAATAGAGTAGTATTTAATATATTTAATGTGAGCATAAGTTCAGTAATGGTAAAAATTGAATAAATTTGACACTGAAAATTATGATAGATATTGGAAGTACAATTTCAATTATTATTTTAATATTGTTTAAAAAAATATATAGAAGATAAGATAGGAAAGACCAGAAAGTAACAATCCAAATTCTTTTAATTAAATTCTGTAAGTTAATTATATTGTTATTCAACCAAAGTTTTTTTTATATTAATTATTACCATTTGAGTCAGTATAAAAGAATCTATAGAGCAAAGACAAAAAAAAATTTCCAACCAATGATTTTTAAAGAAAATTAGCAAATTATTATGTAAAAAGCAAAATTATTGGTATTTCGGCTTATATCTCACCTTTATTTTAAAATTCGAACATATAGCAATATAAATAAAAAATTAGAACAAAAAAATTTACTTTTATATACTTTCAAACTTTAATGCGAATTTACATAATATTTGTATAAATAATATTTGTGATTAACCATATTGTGAATTTCTGGGAGTATAATTTATTTTTTCGCAGTTACAATTACTATAATACAACTTCGAAGTCATATGAATGCATTTAAAAAATATATAATTAATATAAATGGAACTGAAAATTTGTTACACAGTGTGAATAAGAAGAGTATGCATTTAGCTCTAAGTTTCAAGCTTAGAACTGAACTAAAGAGAACATATAGAAAGGGTGTGCACTTATAGGTGATGCACTTAGAAAGAGTTGATTGTACATATTTTATTTTTAATAAAATTATTTTATATATATATTGAAATACTTGATTAATTATTATATAATTTATAATTTATAAAGTATTCTTTTACTTAAAAATATACATATTACAATTAATTTAATAAATCCAGTAAGCTACTAATAAAAAGCAACTATTCAAATACTTTATCTACTGTTATGATTTGTAAGAATTATATATTAATAATATTTTTCTAAGCTATTTACTTGAAAATTTAAATATAATAATACTTTGACTATATAACAAAATTTTTTACTTTTAAATAAAGCAATAATTTAACAAGTAATTAATTTTGAGTTATAGCTAAGGTTGCTAAGCAAAATAAAGAGTTTATTTAGACAGACGTCTAAATGGTAAAGGTAAAACTTGGTTAAATTATATTAAAATCTTATTAAAAAATCTGCAAAATTCAGAAAAAGGTAAAACTATATCAAAGATTATAGAAATGGCAAAATTATATTAAATACTTAATAAAATTTAGCAAAACTAAAGTTTTAACATTTAACTGAATCCAAAATGAGTTTAGACAAATAATCTTAGTTATAGCATTTCTATTAGCTCTTTTTTCAATAATCCATAAAAATAAATTATCTTCTAAATTTAAATATTTAAAAAGTTTTTTTGGATGAATTTTTGATACATAAAACATTGTATTCTAACATGATTTCTTTTTTTAGTCTAATCATAGAATTGTTTTAGTTCAATATTAAATTTTTTGCTATTTTACAAAGATTTTTATTATATTTTCAAAAAAATTTATTATTATGAATTTTTCTAACATTCCATATTTAAGTTATTTTTGTAGTAATTAGTTATATGATTTTTATTTATATTTTTTCAATAACTATTTTACACAAAAAAATATTGTAATATAAAAAATATATATATATAAAAATGTATGAAATATGTAAAATAATGAAAAAAAGTAAAGTATATTTATTTTTTTTTCAATAAGATAAACAACTTCAAGCTATTTATAAGAATAAGACAGAAAAAATTGGGATGTATTTAAATATTATATTTAGAATTTTCATCAGTTAAAAATGTGTATGGATAATTAACAAATCAAAAAAATTTGTGTTAATTAGTTGACAGCAAGAAGGTATTATACATGGTAAGTACCCAGAGTACTTTACAATTTCTGTATCCCCTATGTATATAGTATTCACCTATGTAATGTATCCGTGGGTATAACCAAAAATCTCAAAATCTGCTAAGGACCCGGGTACTATGACCCATTATACAGTAGTTCCAGATTTTATACAAACTTTAGTTTAACACTATCTTGACAGATGAATTTTTAAAAAAATAATAATTTTTAACTAAATAAAATTTTAAACCATCATCATCTTATTAATTAAATCGATTAATATTTAAATTTTAAGAATTGAATTATACCCGGAGTTTAATTTATTACATACTTAAGGTGGATATTATACAGTAATTCTATTGGATAATTAATTTATTTAAGTCACGTGAATCACGTGAATTAAGCTTGGGACTCGGTCCTAAAGTCCAGGACCCAAGTCATAGTGCCCAGTTCCCTGCTACAAGATGTTTTGGGTGATACGAAAAGGGGTTATTAATCGATTATCACTAACAATGGAACAAAGTTACACTTTGATTAAATAATATAGTTTCGAGTCATCAGATGGAAAATTGATTAGCTTTTTGGTAAAGTTCATTAATGACTTTAATAATTCTTTGTTTCATAACTAACATACTTGTTTAATTTTTACAATTTGATATTACAACAGATCGAACAAAATATTTTTTGGAAGTATCGCTATGAATGTAGCAGTACTTAAACAAATATTTTCGGAAAATCCGTCTTGAAATTTTTTTTAATCTTACAATCTAGCTTAATATTATTTGTTTAATGAAAAATTTTTTTACAATGGCAGATTTGGTTAGTCCGCTTACTTAGTCAAACCGGTTATTGCGTAATACATTATGCAACAACATTAATTTATAGAAATTAAATGCAGGTTTTTATTCACTTTGATATAACTAGTTAAACAACTCGGAGATGAACAATATGAACTACATTGGGGTTTACACATTGTTCTCAATAGATTTGTCTGATAACAAGAGATTGCTCACTGAAAAAAAAACTATTTAAATGACCCATGGATTTATTGAAATGATCCTTACCAATTTACAATAATTATATTATCCCTTACTTTCAAACTTTTACATATTTTACATTAACATGGATCAAGAAAAATTATTTATCAAATTCTCGCGAGAAGTCGAAAGGTCTACAGAAATAAAAAGATCTTTTCGAAATCAATATCTTTTCGAAATAAATATCAATACAAAGTAAAGAAGAAAAGAAGGGAGATTATGAAAATACAACCCAATATTTTATTAATTATTAAAAAAAAGATAATGACACAATACAAAAAAAGATACGACGGCAGCAATATTACATCCAATATTCTTCGCCTCTGATAATTCCCAATTCATTTAACCTCAATATTTTAGTTATTTTCATTAAAAAAAAAAAGATATAATGACACAATACAAAAAAAGATACGACGGCAGCAATATTACATTCAATATTCTTCGCCTCTAATAACTCCTAATTCATTTAACCTCAATATTTTAGTTATTTTCATAAAAAAAAAGATATAATGACACAATACAAAAAAAGATACGACGGCAGCAATATTACATTCAATATTTTTCGCCTCTAATAATTCCCAATTCATTTAACCTCAATATTTTGGTTATTTTCATTAAAAAAAAAGATATAATGGCACAATACAAAAAAAATTACGACGGCAGCAATATTACATCCAATATTCTTCGCCTCCCAATTCATTTATCCATCACCATCATCACCATCACATGAAACGTAACCCAGACGATATATCGAGTAGTTATAAAAAAAATCACTATCTAGATGATTCGTTCATTTGCGATTTAATAAATTTTTCATCTAAACTTGAAAAGATTGAAAAACTTAAACCCGTAGGGCAATTTTTGTTGAAATTTTTGATTTGGATATAAATCGACATTCTTCAAGAGTCAGTATTAATTTATATTGTTAGCTGATTAAATAAAATTGGAATTTATATATTTATTACTATAAAAAAATTGATTGCATATCTAAACTGATGTCCTATTGCTGTATAATTTAACATTGCATATAAGAGACTTGTAACTTAACCACTGAATCAGGATTGCCACATCCCATATTTATTTAGTTGTGAATCTAGGGTTTAAAGTAATTGTAAACATTGTAAACGTGTTTTTCATCTTTTTAATAATACATGATGATAATAAAGTTGATAAAGATGAAGCTGATGTCTTATATGATAGAGATGATAAAAATATGAATATAAAACAAAAGTTGAAGCTGATATTATATTAGGTTTTTATATAATGATGATAAAGTTGATAAAGGTAAAACTAAAGTTAATGCTGTTATATAACTAAAGCTAGAGTTAAATATATCTTTAATAATTAAATGGTAGTATTTATTAATAATGTATTTTTTTAATACTTTTTTTAATAAATTTTTCCTATAGTTTTGATAAGAATAATAATACATGTATAAGTAACTCTAAATAAATATGATTTTAGATAATTAATAACTATTTTTTTTTTGCATTTAATTATTTAGTTTAGTTAATCATCTTTGATAGTTTTGCAAAATATTATATTATTGAGATTGAGAAAGATCTTTTCTTATAATTATTTAATTAAAATTTTTTATATAGAATATGGTTATTTAAGAATTCTGTTTTAAAATATAAAAAAAGAATTAATAAGTAATTTAGTATATTATTATATATTTTTTTTTAATTAACATAATAACTAGTATAATATAACCAATATTGTTAATATTATTAATATTATTTTTTATAATTATTAAATTATAAATATATATAATTGTATATAATTAAAAATAACTTAATATTTATTAAATATGTAATTAAATCATAAGTAAGTATAAAGAAAGAAAATTTTGATTTAATGTAATTTAATGTAATCAGTCATTAATAACTCATTATTATCAATTATCAAAATAATGAATTCTTAATATATAGATGCATTTTCATTATAAATCATATGATTTACTATACCTTATGGTTTAATTTTACTAAAAATGTTTTCAATATAATAAATATTCAACTCAAAATTTGAGTTGATATGTGATTAGTCTTTTTTATTATACAATTAACTTTTAATATAATAAATCAAAATTTGAGTTGATATGTGATTAGTCTTTTTTATTATACAATTAACTTTTAATATAATAAATCTTAAAATCTGAATTATAAGATTATAACAAATTTTTTAAAGAATTTAATTAGTTAGTTCATACAAGGTATATTTAACATATTTGATTAATTAAATATTAAAATTTTTATTATATTAAGAATTCACTATATCAAGTATACTTAGTATTAGTTTTTACTATCAAATAAATTATTCAATACTTTAAAATAAATATCAAGTTAAATATAATATTATATTAAAATATAAACTTACTAAAATATATTATCAAGATTTATATTATGAAAGAGAATTATAATTAATTAACAAAAATAATTGGTTTAAATTAAATCTGAATTTTTTTTATTATAAAAATTATATTTAATATATAAGAGATGTAGAAGGGTAGAATGGAAAATTTTCTTAGCATAACTACTAAAAATTACCAGCATATGATTTTTTGTAATATATCAGATATATCAGCTATATTTTATACTTATTAATTTTATGTTTTAAATATTAATATTATATAATATAAATAATATTTTTTCTATTAAAAAATATTATGAAAGAGTTTTAAAAGAAACTATATTCTTAATATTATACTTAAAATAAAAGTTTGAAATTATAAACTTATAAGTTTTATAGTTTAATTTACATTTTTTTTATTATAAACTTAATGTATATATTATTATTGCATTTTCATTTTTAATAGATAAACTCTCAAGAGTAAGAGTAAGAGCAAAATAACAATATTAATAAGTTACAAAAATGTATTAGTTGTTATAAAAATTTACTTATTAAACTTTATTTTCATAATAAAACTAGTAAGCAATTTTGTATTTGCATTTACTATTATACAAAATATTAAAACGTTGTCTATTAGTGATTGAAGAGAGTAATAATTTAAATAATATAGAATTAATAATACAATTTATCAATTTTAATGAATTTCTTAACTTTTATTCAGAATAACTTGTTATAAACAAAGAAATCAAAGAAAATTTCAATAATTTACATTTAAATATTGCATGTATTATTATTAATTCTTCCTTACTTAATGAATTATCAAAGAAAACTCTAATGAAATTAAAAAGCAAATTTTTAATATAGATTAATATTTTTAGTACAATCAAACCTTAATATAGTGAACCCTTGATATAACGAATTTTTAAATCAAATATATTAAAATTACCTTAATATAGTGAACTAGCTAATTAAATTCTTTAAATATTCATTATAAGTTTATAATGAAGTTGATATCCAGATCATAGAATTTGTTATATCAAGAGTTTATTGTAATAAGTAACCTTCAAAATTTGCTTTACTTATTATATACATGAAAGTATTAAAACATTATTATTTTTATTAGTTTTTATAAAGAATATAAATGATAAATTAGAATTTCATGTCTTTTTGGTATTTCTGTTCTCAGCAAATAAATCTTAAAAAATCTGCATAAATATGCAGATTTTAATCATCAATATGATACATTATTAAAATAACAATTTAAATGTAATAGAATACTTAAAATTACTATTAATATAATGGCTAACATTTTCTAAATCATACCTTATTCCTTAAATCATTTTGTATCAAATTCTGTTAAAGATTTTATTAAAGAAAATATCAATCTTCTATTCTGTAAAATATATACTAAAATTGTTTTTAATAAAATTAATTTATCAATTTATTAAAAATAAATATATTTTTAGTGATCAAAATTTATGATTGATTTTTATAAACATTGTAGTTGTCATATCTAAAGATAAGGTTGCTTGTCTAAACTCATTTTGGATTTGGCAAAACGGTAAAACCTTTAGTTTTGCTAAATTTTTACTAAGTGTTTGATATAGTTTTACCTTTTTCCAAATTTTGCAGATTTTTTAATAAGGTTTTAATATAATTTAACCAAGTTTTACTTTTACCATTTAGACGTCTGTCTAAACTCTTGATTTCATCCAGCAACCTTAACTAAAGATGAGGGATAAACTCAAAAAAAGTAATTAATAAACAGCTGAAATTATATTAAAATATAGTGAAAAGTATGACAAAATCCTAAAACCTGAAATTAGCTGAAACTATATTAAAAACATAGTAAGGGATATAACAAAATTATTTTGAAGGAGTTTCAACTAGCATCTTTAGTCATAACTCTTGTTATACAAATTTATGACATTTTTGAGTTTAAAAGTTTCAACATAGCTTATACTTTATTAATTTTTCTGCTATTTGTCATCAAGAGGATTTGTTTTATAAATTAATATTTAATTATTAAGAATCCTTTTTTATACTTTGAGCGATAATTGTCTTATAATTTCTTTAAAATGTTATTGTTGTTTAAATATTCTTCTGTTATTATGTTATTTTTTTTCCGTCATTATATTTCTTCTTATTATTTTTCTATTTCTTTTAATAAGTTTAAGCTTTCAAAACTTATATAATTTTAATAACATCAATATTAATAGACCATCAGCATAATATATACACTACTTTTACTATGAGTATTCAGAATATTACTTAAGTACTAAGTATTAACTCTTCTATAATACATGATTATCTTAAATTATATTTTTCTTAAACTTTCTTCTACTATTTATTATTATTATTTTTACTTGAATTCTTTCTTATGTTATGGCTTTCTTCTAATAATATCTTTTCTATCTTTCTATAAATTCTTATATTTCTTCTAGTAATTCTCTTTTTTCAATAAACTTATTTTGCTGGTAATATTTTTTCTTATAATAATATTATTTTTCTGGTAATTTCTTCTTATATTATAATTCTTCTGATAATTATTTCTTATATTTCTATAATTTTTCTGGAAAAAATTTCTTATGTTACTGTTATTTTTTATTTATAATTTTTTATCTTTATTTCTTTATTATTTCCTTAATATTTTTCTAAAATTTTAGTTAATATATAAGCAAAATAACTTTATTTATTTTCATGACTTAGTTAATTAATAACTAATTATTTCAAACAAAAGTATTCATTTTATTTATATTTAATATTTGTTTTTAAAAATAATTTTTTTTTATTTCAAAATTTAATTGATTGTCATTCCTTGATTATATTCAAAAGATTTATATAATAAATTTACATAAAATTTTTATTTGTAATTCCTATTGGTAATTTCTACTTGTAATTTTTATTGGTAATTTTTATTGGTTTTTTTGATATTATGTTTCTTATGTTTTACTATGAATTTCTATTTGTTATCCTAATATTACTTCTGTTTATATTTTTCTATAAATTTTTACTTTGTTTTCCCAACGTTACTTCTGTTTATATTTTTTTACAAATTCTATTTGTTTTCCTAATTTACTTACTTCTATTTATATTTTTCTACAAATTTCTATTGTAATTATAATGTCATATATTACCTTTATATTATATAAGCTTTTATATGATCCATTATATCATTTTCAACTATTGCACTTTGTGTGTAACATTTCTGCATATTTGTATTACTTTTACAATTATT